TCGTAGTTCAAGTCCGCGCCCCCCCCCCCCCCCCCCCAAAAAAAAAAAAGGCATTAAAACAGATGTGCTTTTGCCAGAAGATGAGAAAAAATGTTCCAGTAGCTCCAGAATGAGAAAACTCTTTCAATTTTTTTTCAAAACAACCTGAAAGTATCCTGGTGTCTCAATCAGAATCAGGCTACACGTGGTCAGTTTCTCTGCCAAAGACTGAAGGGGGATTCTTCACAATAAAGTAAAACACAAAAGGAAACAGAAATAGATGGATACATAGTAACATTCCACAATAATTAAAGTTGCTCCCAAATTCCCAGAAAGCAACTGCAATTGACCTAACCATCTGTATATGGGGAATAGAAAATAAAACATCCATAGAAAATACATCTGACTGGATTCATGAAATATTTTCCAATTTGTTAGTCCCTTGATGGAACAAAACTATTTTTGAGCAAATTTTCTGGGAATGTCCTTTTTGGTTTCCCATGTCACAAAGAGCTTATTCACCACTTACCCCTTATCAAGCACCCTATGAATGCAGAGCATCTTCATGTATCAACATCTCAAACAGAAATTACCAAAACCCTCCAAAATTATTTGCTAGGTAAAGCTGCTTGCACAGAGTCACAGTCATTTAAAGATCATTGTGATTTTTTGGCTTTGTTTTCACTCTCTTCATCCTTCCAGAATATGTCAGGAAACAAACCTTTTTAGGCTTGACATAATCCTGCTTTAATCCTGACTTGTTAATTAAGTAAAACTTGCTCAAAGCAAACATTTACCTAATTTTAGAGGTTCTTGAACATGTAGAAAAAGGTGTAACTTTTTATATTAACATTTTGGTCTGTTTCAGGGAAAACTTCAGAGAAGTCAAGATACGAAACAGGATTTACTCTTTGTTCCCCAGACATGGGAACAGAATGGAAGAGTTAATGATACTGGCATTTTTTATCAAATTAAATCCAGAACATTTTTATTGCTTATTCCACTCCCTGTCGGATAGAGTTAACAAGACAGATTAAAAGGGACATGTGAATCTTTGTAAAATTAAAGCACATCTGTGTTACTTCAAGCAGTTTTAGTCTTTAGAGCACCTTTTCAGGGAAAACAGAATACCAAATTCACATCTTGTGTAGTAAAATCCCCAAGCCTCAGAAGCAGCTTGAAACCAAAACATCCCACTGTATACACTATTTGAAAGAATACCAGCAAGACCCCAGAAAGAGAACAGTACAGTAGCTCATACTCTGCAAAGCTCATTCCAGAAGTGCCTTTTGACTTTGCAGAGCAGAGCCTACATGGCAACATGAGATGTAGGCTTCATCTCACATGTGAAGCAAATGCATTAGATACTCTACTGAGAAGCAGAGCACATAGGGCTAATAAAAGCACAGCAGATGAAGGTGGAAAGCAAGGAAAACAGAAACAAGAGGCAGACTTGAAAGCCCTTCCCTGGAGTCATATCAGGCCTGTTTTGTACACAGTTTACACAGCACTAAACTTACCAGCTTAGTTTTGACCAACTTTTCTATTGCACTGACAAGATCCGCAGCAGTTGGGACATCAGAGGAGCTCTGTCGAGCAGCTAGCAAAGAGGAGGACTGCAAGACACCAGGTTGCAAAGGAAAAGCAAGTTAGCAGGATGAGAAGGGAGTAGGAAACCAGGGGTCAGTGGAGCAGCTTCTGAGACAGGAGAATGAATGGGGAAGGGGAGCAGGAGGGTTAGAGGACCACATGCATGGTCAGCTGGGCGAGTGTTGCTGTATCAAACAAGGATAAAATTGCCTTCCATTTCTGGCTGCACATCACCCTCAAGCAGTTGCAAGGCTGGGAACCAGGGAGCAGCATCAAAGAACTGAAGTTCATAAGCAACCAGGCTACAATACTCTTAACGTCTCTTGATTGCTCTTTCAAAGGACATCTATAGTCTTACAGACTCCAGAAAATTGATTATCTTACTGTGGATATTATAAATTACCCCCTCCCCTGTACATACACATTTAATAAATGCAGTTAACTACACAGGGTAGTTACAGGCAAAGGGGGAAGGAGGCAGGGAAGAATAAATCATTCCCTCTCCCTCCCCACAGATCAACTGCAACTCCAAATGAACTCAGAGGATGCCTCACATTCGTATATATTCAGTCATCTAGAACATGCATCTTTCCTTTCCCCTCTCTGCAATCAGTAGAGAGAAAACACCCCTGCATATCTCATCTCTCCTAGGTACCTGGCAAAGGAAACACTCTTTGGAGATGCCCACTTTTCTCTATTGCCATTAGTTAGAATATTTTCAGTTTCCCATCTCTATGCTTGCCAGCATTTTAGGTGCCTGCCAGTATGTAATATCTATAGATGTTTCCACATTCAGCTAACAGCTGCTGCTTGTTCCAAATCTCCAGAAACACTGAGACTGTGAAGACTGGCCTCTGTGTGAAAAATTCAGCTTTAGTTAAAAGTTTTTGCTTTATATGGGTCTCTTCACCCCTTGGACTTTGTCCTAAGAAACCTCACTTTGAAAATCCAAACTCTTGTTGTATCTTTGGGAGTTGCTATTTATTAGCTCACCTACATTTCTTCTGAACAAAATACAAGCACTGACTTAAACTGTAAGCCATTTGATAACCTGCTTTTGCCAGGCTGACACAGACTAAAGCATGGCTTTTTTTTTTTTATTATTTCTGCATCAGAATTATTAAAAAGCTTATTTGTGTCTCAGCTGCTTAATAAAGGTCTTCTGGAGAGCACCTGTTTCAGCAAAGTCACTGTGCAGGCACCAATGAACATGCATCTAAGATTAAATAGGGTTGGGGAGTGAGATGTGGAAATGTGATGGCAGGAATTAGGCAGCTGGTCCCTTTTCAAGCAGCCCTTGGGGGAGGCTGCTCATGATGAGTGATGCAGGTCCAGAAGGAGAAAAAAAAAAGGGCAAAGGAGACTAAACCCAACAAGAAGCCTAGGAGACTTGTGACAGAGCAGCCTGTCACTCCTCACCTGTCTTTCCCAAATAATGCATCTAATCAACAGTTCTAATTACAACAACAACAAAAACTACAGGTAATCAGGCTGGTAACTGAGGAATTAGGCTGGTAATGCAGGAATCTCATACAAATGTAACAGCTCAGAAAGCCTGTTTCACCTGCAATGTGCACAGACATGCCTAGGAAAAAAAACAAAACTGAAAATATTATGAAGAGATACTTTACAAATACATAGATGGTAACATCAAACATAACCATTCTAGCAGGAGTCCAGTTTATGGAGGCACTAAACAGCTGTTCCTCTCACTTCTTTTAACTGAAATTGCTCAGTATTTGTGAAAAGTAAATAACTGCAGGATTTTGAAGGGAGCATGGAAACATTTGCTGCCTACAAGCCTTTCAGGGTAAAATAAAACTCTTCAGTGATTAAGGAGAGTCTGGTTTGTGCGGGAAAAATGAAAAAAAAAAAGGTATTTCTATTTCCCAGAAAGTAAATTATGAATTTCTATTATAAAGACATCTTGCAATATGTCTTTATAAGAGTCTCCAGGAGCAGTGAGGTATGATTATTGCTGTCTTGCCAAAGGGCTCAGGGAAAAGTGCCCCCACCCTCTGCACCATGCAGATATCTACCATCTACCATGGCTTCCCCTGGTCCAAACTAAGCCCATAGCCGTGAGCAGTAGCAGGACATGAGCAGGGAGCTCTGCCCAAATTAACACCTTTAAAAAGCTTTTGGCTTCAACACGACTCAGACATTGCTAACGTGGTGCTGCTGTGCCAGAGAATTCAGAAGCCGTGTTAGTGAGCTGAGGCTTTTTTTTTGCCCCGTGACAAAAGTTGAGCAAGGGAAGAAAAAGAGAGAAAAAGGTTTTCAGATGCATCTTGCTCAATTTAATGCTCTCTTCTAGGATCGAGTGAAGAAACAGGATTCCAAAGCACTCTAAAGAACTTAGGCATCTGGAGTGGAAAACAGTTCAGCTCCACAACTTTGACGCTGTCAGAAATGTATTTAAGAAAGACTGAAATCACATGGCATGTTAAAAATAAAAAATAGTGACCCAACTCAAGCAGTTACGGTTTTCTTTAGAAAAACCCAAAAACACCCCCACAAAAAGCAAGACAACTAACCCCCAAACACTTAGCTCAACACCAGAAGGAACAAGCCAGGATCCACTGCTGTTGTGCTGGGCATGGATCCACCAGGCTCTGCTCTGCAGACCTTTCGCCTCTGCCCTCACCAGCCAGCAGCACATGCAGCACACAAAGGGCAAGAGTCCATGACTCCAGCTGCTTCCTTCTGGTCTTCCTGCCACCACAATGTCATAACATTTCCTGACAGATCAGCAGCAAGCCCCCAGATTCTTTCCTCCATCATTCTGCTCCTTGAGTTCCATAAATAATTGCGCCCTTCTCCCTCTGTATTTCCAAACTCCTGAACCCTTCCCAAGAACATTCTGGGTTGCTGGTTTTTTTCTGTCAATTTATTAATCTCCCCTATCCTTGATTTCTTCTCATGCAGTAATTACAATCACAGGATAGAGATACAGAAGTGGCAGTGCTAAAAACAGATGCCAGCAGGAAAGCAGGAAACAGCTAAACAGGAGGATGGATTTCTACAAGGGAGATGACAGCACCAGGGAAAGGTGGGGGAGGACATGTGCAGATAGGACCTGCACTGACTGTGAATGCAAGCCACTGCCATGGCCATATTCACAGATTCTCAGCCCAAGCCCAGGAGAGCAACTGAAGGACTCTGCAAGCCACTGCACCATCTTCCAAAGCAAATTCTGACTTAACATCCAGGAGACCCTAGCTAACAGCAGAGAACAACCACCACCAGCATTGTGCACAAAGATGGCCAAACCAATGCCTTTCCCAGCCCCCTGAGAGGGACTTCAGATACCTTGTGGTCTTCTGACCTAACTGGAGCTAATGGACAATCCGCTGATTACCAGCCATGTATGCCGAAAATGGAAGACAACAGCACTGAGTTGGCTTTTCCATCTACAAGTTTTAAAGCACTTACCAATTGAGGGTGGATGGTGGGGCACAGAGTGACAACATTCCTGGACCCCAAACACACACAAAGCCTGACTGGAGAGCTCACAACCTATCTCACTCTTGCTAAAGGTGACGTTTCTGGATCCAAGCAGACTCCAGCATCTGTCACACCCCTGGGGCCCAGGCTGCCACCAAACACCATTTCTGCTGCTGCTGCCAGAGACCAAAGGCACTTTTAAAACAGATGTGGAGAACATGCATGGCCAACCTGAGTGGGGTTTTTGACCCCACACAACACAAGCACACGATCGAGCTGCCATGAAATGGAACACCGGGGCTAAATAGCTTATCCAGCACCTTTTATAAATCCAGTTGGTGACAGGTATTAGATTATGATTAGCACACAGGAGTCTCTCTTAACCACAAGTCTAGGCCCTGTATAGTAGCAGACCACTATGAAACCACTGTGAGATGGCTATGTGAGAAATGCACTCAAACAGCTAACAGAGATAGCAGGGAAAGGCCTTACCATCTCATCTTGGGCTGGATCATTGTCAAATATCTTCATAGGAGGAGGAAGAGGTGTGTGAGACTCTTCATCTGGTTCATCTTCTCCCCAGCCCTTCTTGCTCTTCTGAGGAAAAGTTAAATATAATTAGAAAGAGGGATGTGTTTATCTTTTTAGATATCTGAGCCCTGCCATCAGAATTTAAGTCTGTTAACGCTAATATTGGCTTAATATTGCATTGGGTGGAGAGAACTTTAGGTCATGCTAAGAATCACGGAAAAGAAGCAATAAAGATGTCAGGTTTTGCCAGTTAATCCTAGTGCATTTTAAGAGTTACAGAAATACAGTTCTTAGGTCACCCAAGTAGTTAAGGCAGTTACAGCTGCCTACGTGCTGATGAAAAAGTAACTTTTAATTTGAGATCAGGTCAACGTACAGTTTTTAAAATACTCTGTTTATGTTCAGTTAGTATCTTCTCCATTTTTGGCTTGTAATTCCATATTCACTTGATGAGAAAAGAGCCATTCTGGCAAAGAACATGCCTGCAGAGAAACTGTGGCTACAGATCCGTAGCAGGTTTAGCAGAAACATGGCTATTTTGCTGAGTGTTCTCTTTCAGAAAGGAATCACACTGCCACAGTAGGATAAAGGCAACATGACCCTCAGCAAAAAGTGATAACAACTGGGCAATAAGAACTTCATTCCTATCCTTGGCAGCTTTCTAGTGGGCTATTAAAAAAAAACACAAAGCTCTAGTCAAAGGACAGTCATACATGTGAACTTTGAAATGCTGTTCCCTGTATATTCTGTTGCTCTTTGGATGACAACGCTGCCTCCAATCAATGCCATTTTACAGATGGTTTTCTGTTCCCTTTAGACCCTGAGGGAACTGCGTTTACTCAAGCATGAATCACACACTACAGAAGAGACTATCAGAGAAACAGCCTTTCCTGCAACAAACACCAACACACACCTCATCTGCGCTGTCTCCTTGAGGAGTGGTTTCATCTCCGGTCTTTGGTGAGCCGAGGTCAAAGCTCTTCCTGCCATCTCGCACCTTTTTCTGCTTCTTGATGTTGCTCTCCGTCTTCCCGCTGTTCAGCCGGCGCACAGGACTAGTCAACCACTTCTTCAGGGTGTTGGTCGAGCGCTTGGGGCCAGGAGAGCTCTGGATGGAGTTGAGAGATGGCTGAGGTTGTAAGTTGGCCACTGAATCAGACTTGCCCCCGTTGTCGTTGGAAGAGACCGAATAGGCATCTGGAAGAAAACAAGGCAGGCGACAGGTCATACCAACACCTCCCTGCCCGAGTGCACAGCAAGCACTTGGCAGCCCTAGGCATGAAATTACAGGCTGCCTCAACAAAAGGTTTTGTCACCAAGAAACATTGTTTAAACTTCCTTGCACACCAGAGAGAAGAACACAACCTGCAACAGGCATTTCTCACAATCTTACA